GGTGCGATTATTCGCAAATGGAAGAAACACAAAAGAACTGTCAATCTCCCTCGGCCTGGGGCTCCATGCAAGATCTCACCTCGTGGAGTTGCAATGATCATGAGAACGGTGAGGAATCAGTCCAGAACTACACGGGAGGATCTTGCCAATGATCTCAAGGCAGCTGGGACGATAGTCACCAAGAAAACAATTGGTAAGACACTACGCCGTGAAGGACTGAAATCCTGCAGCGCCCGCAAGGTCCCCCTGCTCAAGAAAGCACATATACATGCCCGTTTAAAGTTTGCCATTGAACATCTGAATGATTCAGAGGACAACTGGGTGAAAGTGTTGTGGTCAAATGAGACCAAAATGGAGCTCTTTGGCATCAACTCAACTCGCCGTGTTTGGAAGAGGAGGAATGCTGCCTATGACCCCAAGAACACCATCCCCACCGTCAAACATGGAGGTGGAAACATTATGCATTGGGGGTGTTTTTCTGCTAAAGGGACAGGACAACTTCACCGCATCAAAGGGACGATGGACGGGCCCATGTACCGTCAAATCTTGGGTGAGAACCTCCTTCCCTCAGCCAGGGCATTGAAAATGGGTCGTGGATGGGTATTCCAGCATGACAATGACCCATTACACACGGCCAAGGCAACAAAGGAGTGGCTCAAGAAGAAGCACATTAAGGTCCTGGAGTGGCTCAGCCAGTTTCCAGACCTTAACCCTATATAAAATCTGTGGAGGGAGCTGAAGGTTCGAGTTGCCAAACGTCAGCCTCGAAACCTTAATGACTTGGAGAAGATCTACAAAGAGGAGTGGGACAAAATCCCTCCTGAGATGTGTGCAAACCTGGTGGCCAACTACAAGAAACGTCTGACCTCTGTGATTGCCAACAAGGGTTTTGCCACCACGTACTAAGTCATGTTTTGCAGAGGGGTCAAATACTTATTTCCCTCATTAAAATGCAAATCAATTTATAACATTTTTGACATGCGTTTTTCTGGATTTTGTTGTTGTTATTCTGTCTCTCACTGTTCAAATAAACCTACCATTAAAATTATAGACTGATCATTTCTTTGTCAGTGGGCAAACGTACAAAATCAGCAGGGAATCAAATACTTTTTTCCCTCACTGTACGTGCATGTTTTTGTTTGTTGCGGTTGCACCCGATTCAAGAGCCGAATGGCTCACAGGGCTATACCAAATAAATGAAACTGAAAGAAACTGAAAAAAAATGTTGAAAGGACGCGGGCATGGATAAAATGCTACCTGTAATGCGTGTCAAACAGGGATATGTTGTGCGCGATCAATTAAAAGGGACCCGTTGAGTATTGGTAGACACTAATTACCTTTTCAATCACGTCCGTATTGATCAAATTAATTGGGGTTTTGTTTCGGCTCATTCCAGCTTAAACCTAATGGAGCATAAGGTATTTGTGTGTAAATATTTGTGTTTACCTTCTTCATGGTGCAGCATATTTTAAAATGAAAGTGATCTTGTTACTAAGCGTGTGAAAGCCTCTTCACGATTGCACATTGCCGTTGTTCAAAGGACGACACTTCATTGGTTGTGATGGCGAATTATTGTCTTGTTATATTCTTCAATTTAAAAGCAATGATTTGCCGATGCATTGAGTTAACCACAAATTCAAAATTAAATAAGTGCATTTAATTTAAAAGGACGAAACAAATTACAACGTAATATTAATTACAAAGAGGAATCACTTTTCCAAGTAATGAGAAGTGTATTGTCTAATCTAATTCAACGTTTTAATTTAACCCTTTCATAAAATATCATCTTCAACCATGGTCAATCTGCTGCTGGATGAAGGCATCCCCATCTGCCACCACCTCTCACAATCCCTGTAAAAATCCACACACAACATTTAGAAGAAGAAGAAGAAACCCATGCCACTTAGCATTCGCCCACATCAAAACAGCAATGCCCACGTCCAATTTTGCTCACGGTAGCATCCGTGTATCAGACGAAAGCTAATTTTCAGCAGGGCATAGGTTTGTGTGTGTGTGTCTACGCGCAAGCGCACATTTCAGCTGCCGCCTTCTTAATGTTTGATTTTCTGCTGCTGCTGCTGCTACATGCAGTGACGAGCAGGTGGAATTCATTCGACGTTGAAAATTGCTTTATGAAACGTCCCTCAGGGAGGTCTTTTTTTCTTTCTCCCGCCAGTTTGTCAGAGGTTGGTGGGAGCGGTGGAGGCCCGGGAGGATGGCCGAGAATTCTGCTCGTGTCACTGGTGCTGCTGCCACTTGCTGCCACTGCTGCTTTCAGTGCAAACTCCTCAACCCTAAAGTAGGTGTCATGGCGAGGGACCATGGCTTTGCGATTCAAAATGGTACGCATTATTACAAGGCCGTAATTATAATATATATTGGGGGGGGGAACACATCCCCCCCCCCACACTATATTCAAATATGCTCAAAATGTCCCCCCAATATTTTGAAAAAAAAAATTGCTATGCTATGTAAATAAAAACAATTTGCTAAACCTTGGCCACAATATCTGGACTTGTCTTCATACAAATCAATGAATAGATTTATGTTCATATGATTGTGGTTATGGTTGTACTTTATTAATCCCTAATCTCTGCCATTACATACAATGAAACAAGAAATGGCAAAAAAGTAAAAACAGCAATTTAATACAATAACGCTATCAGACAAAATTGAAAAAAAAATAAAAGTCCATCCCATGTGTTAGTGAATATTTTAATATTTTAAGCAGGAAATGAGTTTTAAAATTTAGATATTTTTCTGAGTTGGGACCCCCAGACACCCTGGAAGATTTGGTCCCCCCCAATGTGGACTCCATGGCTACGGCCTTGCATGATTATTTTTATTATTATTTAAAGGTGGCTCAACGGCCGCAGAGCGGGCGTCTCGGAATCGGAAGGTTGCGGGTTAAATCTTCGTTTTGGGCGGTTGACTTGGCCCATTGTCGCTACGGGGTCAATGAATTGCGCTTTTTTTGCGAAGTCAACAGCAGTTGTCCTAGGGAGAGACTCGCCCCCCCCCCCCCACCCCCCCCCCCCCCCCCCCCCCCCCCGCAAGTGGAACGCGTCATTTAAAACAGGGAAAGAAACAAAAGTGCCATTATGGGAACCATGGCTGCAGTGAATGTGCCGATTGGCTGGGTTTTAAGAACAATTCACTTCGGTCATCAGAATGGTCTACATCATAAACTCTGAAGTGGCACGGGGTAATTTTTTGGTGATTGCTGTGTAAGAGTAGTTTTCGGTATTAGCTTGCAAATAAAACAGAACATTGGAAAGGTATTCATCATCACCAATCATGGTCTCTCAACCGCTGGATGAAGGCCTCTCCATGTCATCACCGTCCCTTATGATTTTGCAGTGCCAGTCCCATCATACTCGTGCAGATGAGCCGATATTATCACTCCATCTCCCCAGTGGTTGTACTCACAGGCGTGCTCTCACCTTTGGCTGCGATTCACAACACCAGCCTCGTCCAACAGTCAAGCTTCTCTTCTTAGCGATTTGTCCTTCCCAAATCTGCTTGGAAACTCTTTGCATTCAATATAATTTCAATTATTTTCATTTGTTCTCTGATCCACGTATTCCTCTTTGTCTACGCCTGAGTTCCAAGCACACGCTTCTCCAGATTTTCCCATAATAATTTTCAGCTTTGTGTTCCATTTTCTTTGCCGTTGTACATAGTTCGTATCCATATCATAGCAGTGTAATATGCACCAATTTGTTACATTGGTATGTTGCTTTTCATTATGAAAGGTCATGCATGTGACAATTAAAAACAACGTGACATGTTTTGCCCTATTTGCAACACAACGCCTATCCATGCTGATGTCACTTGCCATGACCCTGATGCAGCGATCATTCTCACCATAAAAATGTGCCCTCGTTAAATCACTTCATCTCCTTGCTCCATGCGTGTCCTTTCTCTTGGCTGTCACTTCACTGCCGGTTTTGTCCATCGATTGTCATTCCACCTCCTAGCGATGTGTCGTGCGCAAGTCAATTTGTATCTCTTAATTATTGTAATGTCTCGGATTGTTATTTTTTTTGGTTTCCTAATCGCTGTGGTTCTCGGCCACGCTCTTGAGTAATTTCGGTCGTGCATCTTCCCGTTTGTTCCTTTGTGTGGTCGGGTTGTAGGATTTTTCTTGCCAGTGACTTTGCCTCCGATCCATACATAACTGCCGGCAGTACACATTGATCGAAAAATATTCTCTTCGAAAAATGTAATTGTTGTGACTGCATTCATTACATGCAACATGTCCCGTAATTATACATCCCATCAATAGGTGCACATGTCCATAGCAGTGTGTAGTTTGTATACGTTATAGAGCGTCATCGACATAATTAAAACAATTACACTTCCCAAAGTACATGAACACAATTGTCGGTTCAATTAACTTTTGCATTGACATTAGTGGACTTCATGTGGAACTATAGTAATGTGAGGATAACTACATTATTGCGTGTGCTGTTTATTTTTGTGTGTTTGGCGGGAGTGGGGGCACAGTTAGTTACCACACTGCACTATGAATCCGATAACCTGAATATCATTGCTGGATACAGCTAACATCAGTAGCAAGTGGTATCTGAACCAATCCTGGGCCTCCCCTAAGTCTTTTAAGCCCTGGTCTCGGCTACACCAACCCCTCATGACATTGTTCAGGCATTAATAGGTGCTCGCTAAGAGCTATTGCCACAAGTCTATGAAGTTAGATGGGGCATATTTGTACCCAGTACATTATGTGGGGAGCAGCTATGAACCTGCCAACCTTATTTCGATTCCCTGGCATGGCTAGCATCAGTGGCAAGCTGTGTCCGAACCTGTTCTGAGCTTACATTACATTTTGCTTATTCTTAGCTCTTTCGGTAAAGTCACGTTGAAGGGAAACAATAAAATAATAAAATATATATAAAACAATATTTATTGTGTTTTATTGTTTTATATATCTTATTATTTTATTGTTTCCCTTCAACGTGACTTTACCGAAAGAGCTAAGAATATGAATTGCTGCAGTCACGAAAGCTTTAAATAAAAAAATACATTTTGCTTGTTTTGTTTACCCAGAAAAGCGTCACTAAGTCTATTCAGGAGGGGCCTGCCAGATTTTTTCAGTAGGGTGGGGGCGGCGGCAATGTTGCTGTATAATCCCAATTGAGTATTTTGCAGGAAATGTTTGGCCAATACCAGTTACATATTTTTTTTAGCGATGGGAGGAAACCAGATAACCTGGCAGAAACCCATTACGAACAGAGGAAGAACACACAAACTCCATACAGAAAGATTCCCGAGTCGGGAATCGAACCCAGGTGATTCATGCTGTGAGACACAATTGTTACCACTGTGCGAAACCTACCGTAAAAAAATAGTACCTTGTGTAGTGTGCAAACAAATGATAGCCACACCACTGTTTCATGCAACACTTAATGTTATGAACTATAGCACTTTCCCCAACAGTGTGTATGGACAATTAAGGAATATTTCAGTGTACAGTACTTTGCATATGAAATTAATTCAAACAGAAATATTAACATTTTCATCCAGTCCATGCGGTTATACATTTCTCAAACAATTCACGAATATGAAAAACAAAACATACGTAATGCATTCGAGGGTATTTCCATAAGAGATGTAGTGATGCAATCAGCTCGTGTGCAGGCATTAAGTGGATTACTAAATCGCAGGATCGCAAGTGATGGTGACAATTCGGCAAGGCCTTTATCCAGCAGTGGATCGACCATGGCCTATTATGCCTAAATGTCCGTTTGTAATGTAATGCATTTGGATTCTTCTATCTTGCGCTCCTGCACAACGTGAAACGTTGCATACTCTCACGAGTCTGATTGAACAGCGTGTGCATCCCAACGTGATGGATCGCGTGGGAGCCCCATCGATAAGATGGCGAGTCCTCCTTCTCAGCCACCAGCACTTTCATCTGTTCAATGAGATGGGGGTGGTGGGGGGGGGGGGGAGTCAAATAAATAAATATATAAGGCATACATTCAAAACGTTCACTCAAACTTTCATACACACGTCTTATATTTAGATTGAGAATCTTCATGCATTGGTGGAGATGAGAATGGTTGTATTTAGATTGAGAATCTTCATGCATTGGTGGAGATGAGAATGGTTGTAAGTTCTTGTTTTCTATTATATTCGGATTGTCTTGTCACCTTCATGTTGCATTCCATTCATTCACGAAGACAAGTGGGCTTGTGCTGGAGACGTCACTCGACTGGATGGTGGCCAGTGGTCACGACTAACGTCTGTGTGGCAGCCAAGCGAGGGGGAACACCCTTGAGAGTGAGTACAAACACCGGGGGGGGGAGATGGAGCAATTAGATCAATTAAATCGGTTCCATGTGCAAGTGCGATATGAACCGCTGCATTAGCACGACCGTGACAGATAGCAGCAGCTTGTGGAGCCTTGCATCAAACAGTGGATTGATCATGGCTGATGTTAACATCTTGAGAAATACATACCGAAGGTAATGTACTTTTCACAAGTCTTTCTTTCAGCACGGTTTGGGACGTGACAGTGCCAAGCATTGTACCGGCGTGCCGCTGTTCGCCGGCACCAGCACGACACATTCACGTCCTTTGGTTAAGCATCAATAACGTTTGAGTAAACCGCATGGTGATGTTACGGGCCTATATTTCCAGTAATTGGATTGCATTGCATCAATGTTGCAAGCAATTTTCAGTTAAGCGTTTGAATTTCGGGAATCGTCAGCAGCAATGTCCTCAAGAAGGTGACCCCCCCCTCCCCCCCACCACCACCACCCACTTGCGATCGATAGCTAAATGTCACGGTTTATATTGTTCACTCGTGCGGAAATGTAAACCGCTTTTGATAAAATTGTACGAGAAAGTTCGAATTGCTCAGCTGTGCCCGTTCCCGCAATCGGTTTTGCTCTTGCACGTGAGCTGATCTCAAAATTCCATCTCACAATGGTGGACATCCTCGCGTTCAGCGATGTTCTGTAGAACAAGGGGAGCCCACAAACGGGTTCATATCTCACTCGCTACTCACGCCCAGGAATCAAACTTAGGCAGCCATGTGTAAAGTGCGATCCACCTAAACAATTTCCTGCTGCACTCACTCCCTTTGCAAATTATAGATTACTCTTTGGTTATTTCGGTAAATTTCTAGATTTGAAGCTTTCGTGACTGCAAGGATTCATACTCTTTGTTTTTTTTCGGTAAAGTCACGTAGGTAAAATAAAATAAATGAAAACAACTAAATTAAATCACGAAGTTTCGGAGGCTTGTGTTGCCTCCGAGGCTTGTGTTGCCTCCGAAACGTCGTGATTTAATTGAGTTGTTTTCATTTATTTTATTTTACCTACGCGACTTTACCGAAAAAAAACAAAGAGTATATTTTGGTAAAGTCACGTAGATAGAAAAATAACTAATAAATGACGACGTTTCGATAGCGACACAAGCCATCACCGTCTTCAGGTGAAACAACACAGCAGGCGGACTGCTGAGGCAGGAGGAAATGTAGCAGGAGAGAGCCATCGCAACAAGAGGCCACGTACGCCTGTGGTGGGCACAACCCAAGGGCAAGTGGGCGGGGCTAGGGATGGAATTTGCAAGTGAATGCAGGATCGCAGAGCTCGCACACCTCGGCCAATCCGAGGGGGGGGGAGAGGGAGGGGAGGGGGAGGGGCCGCCGCAACGGGCGAGAGGGTGGGGGTGACATTTACAGAAGGAGAAATGTAATGCAACTCAGAGAGTCGACCAACACAACAGTGAACACTTTTCCTGGTTGATCAACGTCCTTACAAAGATTGCTCAATTTTGCATCCATCTTCTCCGTTGAAGTCATGTCTGAGTTGTGTGGAAATCCTCCCCGTATATGGGGAATTCTTGCAGTCACGAAAGCTTAGAATCAAGATTGAACCGCCTCTACGAAGAGGATTTCCACACAACTTAGACTTCACATCAACGGAGAAGATGGATGCAAAATGTGGCAATCTTTGTAAGGACGTTGATCAACCAGGTAAAGTGTTCACTGTTGTGTTGGCCGACTTTCTGAGTTGCATTACATTTCTCCTTCTGTAAATGTCACCCCCACCCTCTCGCCCGTTGCGGCGGCCCCTCCCCCTCCCCTCCCTCTCCCCCCCCTCGGATTGGCCGAGGTGTGCGAGCTCTGCGATCCTGCATTCACTTGCAAATTCCATCCCTAGCCCCGCCCACTTGCCCTTGGGTTGTGCCCACCACAGGCGTATGTGGCCTCTGGTTGCGATGGCTCTCTCCTGCTACATTTCCTCCTGCCTCAGCAGTCCGCCTGCTGTGTTGTTTCACCTGAAGACGGTGATGGCTTGTGTTGCTATCGAAACGTCGTCATTTATTAGTTATTTTTCTATCTACGTGACTTTACCGAAATAACCAAAGAATATGAATTCCTGCAGTCACGAAAGCTTAAAATTAAAATTATAGATTGTCCAAAATTACCTTTTTCTTTAAATGAAATATTAGATTATTTCTATTTCAGGTATTATATTTCGAAAAAAAATGTCATTAGTTTTTTTTTTATATATTATAAATGGAGAATGTCGTGAATTGTAGTTACGGTAAAAGGGTTTGCTTGTCACCTTTAGTAATTATGATTAAAATAATGTCATCAGTGTTAATATATTGTTCTCATAGACAGAAAATTGTATGTACATTACATGCAATGCCTTTAGTAAATTACCTAATTACATCCTTTATACATAAAACATTGCAACATTTCAATGCGTAATTGCACGGTAAATACCAGTCTAGCAAATGAATGTCACCGATTTCTATATTATAATTTATATTTTACCACTACTAAGATCTGTGCCGATCAATGAGCAATTAGTGAAGTGTGCCATTTATCTCTCACTGTTGAACACCTTGCAAACCTAAGCAACGTAAAACTTCTGCAGAAACTAATTTCATACCATTGACCTGGCATCTTGTACTAAACAAAGATGTATACCGCCTTAGCTAATTGAATCCAAGCACTGAAGCACAGTTTTTTTATATATATATACAAGTACTGTAGATGTGTTTTGTTCTCTCGTTAGTGACTAAATGAATTGTATAAATGTCAGCATCAGATGTTATTCATGGAGAAAAGATAATGTATTTGATCTTTTGCCTTGAAATTATAAATGTCCTGGCCCATTGCCGAGGGAATCTTGCATGCAATGAGAAAATATCAGCCTGCCATGACTCTAACCCATTGGATGCAGTTCTCTTAATTTCTATTTTTCTTTAAAACATTCCGTTTCTAAACTTGGCAGTGTCCTAAATGGAGCAATGCCACGTGCAGATTAACCTCTTATCAGGAGCCCTTCGGGGGTTTGCACTGTTACCATTGGGGGTGGCAAACAACAAAGCCCTAAGGGATGCCGGTTGCTTCATGGTCATCCGTTGACACCTTTGCAGATGGGGCTAGTTGACTTCAGGTGACAAACTTCACCGGATCACAGTTGCAACGTTAGCAAACGGGGCTAGGTTAGCAAAGTTAAGACTAATACTTATAATTATAGGTCTCACTACGTTACGCTTCCACATGTCGAGTTCGACTTACAATCCTGGGGCTCACTGATCACTGTCCTCCTCTATTACACCTTTAACTCTCGTTACCCGGATCACTGTCATTCTGTCTCTGTGTCTCTCTGTGTATCCCTGTAACCATGTCTCACTAGGTCTCTAGGTGTCTGTTTCGGTGTCCCTTACTCTGTCGCTATACCTCTGCCTCATTCTGTCTCTATTGCTCTATCTCACTCTGTCCCTGTCTCTTTGTGTCCAGGCCTCTCTGTTCAACAGCATTGGAACAACTAATGCTGCATCGCTAAACAATTCACGTCAACGCACACTCAAAAAAAGATTTCCGCAAGTCCCAGGGCCACAAGTCGGCAAGAAATTTTAGAAATTGAAACTCCAAAGATTCTATGCCCCGCATAGACTGGGTTGAGCAGCGCAGGGTTGAGAGAGGGTTATCCACAAAGACCAAGAGGGAGTATAGCTCTTGGTCGTTGTGGATACATCTTAGAGGCAGGGTGCCCAGGCAAGAGTAGGCTGGCCACGTGGCGAACAGGCCGCATCACAGCACGGTCAACGATTTCCTTTGGAGGGTCGGCTTCTTGATCGGCGGGCGAGGATCGCCTCCTCACTATTATTTTGCAGATATCTTGAGGCACCTGCCTCACGTGTATGTACAGTAATATTTTAACTTGAACCTTTTAACCCACTTCATCAAGCCCCAGAATCAGCATGTGCTGCCTCCATGCTCTAGCCCCCCCCCCCCCCCGTTCCATCTTAAGCATCAAGCGTCCTCCTTTAACTCCTCTCCGCCTCAATGGGGTGGAAGCGCTCGGCCCTGCCTGACTCTCCGTCCCTCTTCTTCTGGACTGTGGGGGACCCACTCGGGAGGGAAGGGAGGAAACGAGGGGGGCGGGTGGTCAGTTGAAGGAGGAAGGGAAAAAGGGCGATGAAGAGTCCTGGGGTCCAAGTGGCCAGCCCGCACGGCCGCCACAATTTTCTCATTTCATGACGTTGCAAGGGGTACCACTGACGTGTAACTTGAACGCAAATTAAATCGGCCTGCTGTATAGATAATGTCCGGCTAAAAGTCAGTAATTTTCAGCAGGTCTCTGTTCATAAACGGAGATGTTGCAAACACCTTTCACCACGCACCACCTTTCAACCAGGTCGCATATTGCCGTGGCCAAAACAAAATTTGCTGCTGCAATGAACATAACATTGTGTGGCATACACTTGAGGTGCGGTCGGCACGATGGTGCAATGGTTAGCGGGCTGCGCCATAAAACCTGCCACCTGAGCTTGATTCCCACCCAAGTCACGGCTGACATGAGTGACAAGTGATATCTGAAATGTGGTCCAGGGCACCCACTTTGCAAGTACGTATCAAGCATCAACCCCGAGAACCAACATGGCTTGCGGAGGCCTCCATCCAACAGTGGAATTTTAAATAGTAAACTTGCAATGTCATCTGACTTGGGGGCTCGTGCGGTCTCTTTGGTAGGAATCAGGCTTTTGCAACATTAACGTCCCATTGGTCTTGGTTTAGATGTTTGGACAAAGTTATAACAGGTCGGTATGGTCATGCCTACTCTTCAACATGAATAATGCTCTTGTACAGTGGTACTCAACTTTGTTTGGCTTCTTTGCCCCCTGATGAATTTTGTTTCAACCAAGTACCCCCTTGCCTGACCCCATATGGTTCTGAGAAATAAATGTATGAATAATGAACATGAATATTTTAACCAACTGGCCATTTTATGAGGTATCCTAA